GCTTATCTTTGTTGTGATTTTTCATGGACTGGCTTCCAGTTGCAAATGAATTATTTGGTTGTCACACATGAAATTGACAAGAAGGAAAATGGCTTAACATTATTCTGATTTATAGAGGGCAGGAAATAAGTTGTGATCCATAAATATTGGGAATTTTTGAAGAGCCAAGAAACATACAGGCATATTATGTCAAAAGAAAAAAGATTATCAGATAGGAACAAAAGATTGTTGGATTGCTTTCAAAATTGTCAGATTCGGATGATATCTTCACATATAGGAAGATGTTAGTTTGAAGAATCTTGGAAGGCAGCTATTTTAGGAGTAATTATATACCTTTCATTTCTTCCATCTTTCCTTAATTCATTCAACAAATATTTATTACGTTCTTGCCATGAGTTGAGCACTGTTTTAGTTTTTGGGGATACAGCACTTAAGTGGAGACAAGATCCTTGTGCTCAGGGAATGGACATTCCTGTTGGGGAGACACATAGACAAATAAGAATAGTCAGAAATGGCAGTATCTTTGCCATGCAGAGAATGAGAATGGGTGATGTGATAGTGATCTGGAAGCACTTTAGATGAGATGGTCCTTGAAGATCTCTCTGAGGAGGTCACTTTAAAAGAACAATCTGAATGCTACAGAATTAACCATAATATCTCAGAGGAAAGCATTTCCTACATAGGAACGGGTTGGTGTAAAGGCAGGAATAGGTTTTGTGCAATTGAGGAATAAAAGTCCCAGGTGCTGGGGCATAGTGAGTCAAGAAGAGGAGGTTGTAAGTCGAAGGCAGAGAAGCAGGCAAGGCCAGATCAGCAGAGTGTGTAAGCCAAAAGGAAGTGTTTGGATTTCATTGGGATTGTGACAGGAAGCTACAATCAAAGAGGACAGTGACACTATTTAATTTGTGTTTTTACAAGGTGTTCCTAGCTGCTGTGTAGTGAATGCAGGGAGACCAACCAGGAGACTATTATAGCAGTCTTGACAGGAGATGAAGATACTAGGGACTAGGGTAATAATGGAGAGAAGTGGCAAATTTGGGATATATTTTGGAAGTAGATTGTGTCAGGATTTCTTGATGGATTGGCCGGAGGGAGAAGTGGTAAAATAACGAGAGAACTCTAAAATGTTTGGTTTGAACCAACTGAGTACCTGGTAGTGTACGTACTGAAACAGAAAAACTGGGAAAGAAGTTTTGAAGATTAAAATGAAATACTTTTGTTTTGGCCATGTTAAGTTTAGATGCTCCTTAGACATCCAACAGGAAATACGAAGTAATAGTTTATTATGTAAAAATCTGGGGAGAGGTCAGGGCTAGAGATGTAGATTCTGGCGTCATGGTCAAATAGATGAAATTTAAAGCCAGGAGGTTGGTAAAGATCACTTCTAGGCTGTGTGTGATAGAGAAAAGCAAGGGCTCTAGAACAGAGTACGGGGCACTCTAACATCAAGATATGCAGCAGAGAAGTCATCAAACAAGTCTGAGAAGGAATGATCGTTGAAGAGAAAAACCAGAAAGTACAGAGTCAAGGAAGTCAAGAGAATAAAGAGAGACTCAAAGAGACAGTGGTCAACTGTTTTGAATGTAGGAGACAGTCAAACTCAAAACAATAAGGCCAGGCGCCGTGGCTCACACCTGTAATCCTAGCACTCTGGGAGGCCGAGGCGGGTGGATTGTTTGAGCTCAGGAGTTTGAAACCAGCCTGAGCAAGAGCGAGACCCCGTCTCTACTAAAAATAGAAAGAAATTAATCGGACAACTAAAAATATAGAAGAAATTAGCCGGGCATGGTGGCATGTGCCTGTAGTCCCAGCTACTCGGGAGGCTGAGGCAGAAGGATCGCTTGAGCCCAGGAGTTTGAGGTTGCTGTGAGCTAGGATGATGCCAGGGCACTCTGGCCCGGGCAAAAGAGTGAGACTCTGTCTCAAAAAAAAAAAAAACAAATTCAAAACAATAAAGTTGTCACTGGATAGGGCAACATGCAGGTCATCAATGATTTTAACAAGAGCAGCCTCATCAGAGTACGTGGGACAGAGGCTTGATTGGAATGGGTTGAGAAGAAAATGTAAGGTAAGACAGTACGGCAACTGTCGATGTAAAAGCCATCTTGGAGACCTAGAGAAAGACAGGAGGAAAGTGAAACAGGAATGCTCCTGGCCAGTGCGGATGCCCATCTGAGATCTATGGCTGTTATTGCTAAATGATCTCAATGACCCCAGTTATATACATGTATCTCTAGTGGTAGGTATTCAGCTGTTCCTATGCAGCACGGAGTAGATGGACAGTTGGGTTTAACCAGGGTTTGGGCTCTGTTAGATGGAAACAATGAAGGAAGAGAGAGGTAAAGAAGTTAAGCATATTTGCAAAAGGGCTACTATAAAGTTGGACCATGGGCTTTAGGCTGGGTTTTGATGAAAAAGAGTAGGCTAGAGGAATGGCCGACAGTAAGAAAGCAAGAGGGGCCAATGGATTGGAGGCCTTGTTGGTGGTCAAAGAATTGATGGTGTGGAAGTATTGATGTACCAGAGCTGAATGGATAGGAAATTAGTGGTCAGATGGGGCAAGCAGAATTGTTGTATATGGGAAGCTGCTAGACTAGTGAAGGGTATTCTTACACGATTGTGTCTCACCCACTGCTTATTTTCTTTTTGAGTAACTAAGTTCTCTAGTGTATTATTCCTGTGCTGGAGTTCTCATAAACTGCAGGGAAAAATACACAGATTTTTGAATAACCCTTGTCCCTAAGCAGTAGATGAAAGCCCATTATATTAGTCAAAATATTCTACGGGAGAATTCCAGTAAAGCAGGCCTTGGCATGTTAACACTAATAACCAATTTTAAACTAATTTCTGAAAAACAAAAAAAGAGAAAACAAGTCACCTTATCACTCTATGTCACTGAGAATGTTCCCCATATTATCTGAAAATAAAGCACCTCATGTCTAGAAAGACGGAGGAGTGTGTGCTTTGTAAGTGCATTATCAATAGTGATTAAAAATGTATTAGTTGTAGGCATCACTGTTCTGCTGCATCATAGAGACACACACACACAACACACAGTAAAAAACAAAATGTTTAGGAGAGAAATATCGTATTACATTATATAATGTGTTATATTTACAAAACACTTTCAAATCCATCAACTCATTTGCAAATAATACGTAATTTGCTACACCTTTTCTAAAGATCTGGAAGTACTTTCCAAAAAGCACTCCATTCATTGCTTCATGGACTCCATTCATTACTTGTGCATGTGTGTGTTTTTCCTCTCCCAGCACGGTTAGTTCCATTATTCTCGTTCCTTCCCTATATAAGCAATATTAAAGGTTTCTCTTTTCCTTCCAGTGTGAAAATTGAGCCTCTTGGCTTGTGAATACTGGCAGAATGGTAGGCTGCAGGAGCTGTGATTTTTGAGTTAAATAATGACATCGTGCCCGAAGGTCAGTTCCAAGTCCACGTCTTGTTTTGGCACAATGTTTATCTGTGACTGCATTTTTTCTTAATCTCTGAAACAGAGGCGTTAATGATAATTTACTTCATATATCTATTATCAGAAAAGGATTTAAAATTCCTTATGAGAATAGGCCATGCATGAGCTTTAGAAAGAGAAAGTGCAACATGTTAACGACATCAGCCCATTAAATATTGTTACGACCCAAAAAGGACAACCTCAAACTTCTCTTGCCAACTTAAATTCCAGCTTCTTTCTACCCTTTTTTTCTGATTCTTTACTTTCTCTTTGGCTGAAATTAGAACCAGGAAGGGAGCAGGGAAGTGGACCACGGGCTGGAAAAGGGGAGGGAAGCCCAACGGACCGGTTAAGCATGCTTGCGATTCTCCAGCCTGCTTCGACCCAGGGCTAAGCCCTAGCGTCAGCGTTTCCAGCAGAAATGAAGATCCAGCCCAGGCTCCACACTGCGTCCAGAGCACTCACGGGAAGGGGCACACTTGACAAATACTACAAAACAGCCTGAGGCGCCCACACAGGCGCCTGCTGGGTGCGGCCTCCCCCCGCCCTGATCAGGGACACCCCCAGGCCGGGCCTCAGGGGTCTGGGTCTGCCCCTCCTAGCAGGCACGCGGTCGGCGCGCGGGCGCGGCCCTCTGACGGAGCCTGGGTGTGCGCTCGGCGGCCGCGGCGTCGCCCAGCTAGCCGGAAGGAGCGGTAGCGCCAACGTCCTGCCGCCTGTCCGTCACGCAGCCGCCCACGCTGCCACCGCTTCCGATTGGTCACAGACCCGGACAGGCCCTCTCCCAGCCCCGCCTCCCGCAGATGGACAGGCCGGGGGCGGGGCGGCGGCGGCACCGCCCCTCGGCGGCCGCTGGCGGGCCCGCCCAGCTGTCAGTTACGGGGGCGGCCCGGCGGGCTGGTGGGCGCTCGCAGGCTACCTTGTCGCTCGCCGGCTACCTTGTGGCTCGATCGCCCGAGCGCGCTCCCTCTCGCCGCCCGTGGGGAAGTCGGGGCCGCCCGAGCGGCTGCCGCCACCGCCTCGCCCCGACCTCCTTCCCCGTCCCCTCCCGGCCCGGTCCCTCCCGCCCGCGCACCCCCGAGTAGTGAGTGGCCCCGCGCAGGGTCCGGAGAGTCACCGCGGCGGCGCCGGGTGGTGTTTAGACCATGTTAAGGAGGATTTTGCAGAGGGTAAGAGAGTGAAACCGTCTTTCCGGCAGCACGTGAGCGGGAGAGCCCGAGCACGGGGCCGCGGGCGCCGCCGCCGCGCTGAGCAGTGGAGGTGGCAGCGCGGGCGCCCCTTCCTCAGCGCGGGCTCCTGCCTCTTCTAGGCCCCGCAGCCCGGCGTGCGCTTAGGCCGCGGTCGTCCGGCCCTGGGGCAGGCCGCGGGGGCGGGCGGGGCGACAGGCCGGAGCTCTGTTGGCCCTGAGCGCACAGGCCTGGCTCCGCAGGGGCGCGGGGCTGTCAGGGCGAGCCGGCTGCGAGCTGGAGGGTGTGGTGCCGGTGCGTTCCTCCCGGGATCCCAGAATGGGAATGAAAATGGAGAGTTGGTGCCTATGGGACGGGCCGGCCAGCCGCCTGCCGGGCTGGAGAACGCCCCGTGGGAAATTGCGGGCAGCTTGCTTCGCTCTTCCGCACCCTCCCCGCTCACCGTGTCACCCAACTTGATACGACACGGCACCTGCCACACACGGCTTCTCTTTCTCAGCTGGACCACACTGGAGGGTAATGTGGTGAGACCCGGCCTAGCGTGGGCCCACTCGTGGGACTGACACTTACTGGCAAAGTCAGCTGAGAAGGAAGATATTACTCACTGTTGGAAACTTTCTTTTAATTAAAAATGAGTTTCCCCTCCAAGGCCCCAGTACCTTATTTTAGCTCTCCAAGAATAAATCCGCAGTAAGCTTTATTAAACGGTATACACTTAGTTTCTGCCAGTGTTACCTCTACTTGAAATCTGGAAAACCGTGAAAGATAAAAGGATTAGAGTATTGGAAAACTGTAGGTATATCGTTTAGGAATCAGTTCCTAGAATAACATTAAAATCTCTTTTCCTATAAGTTGCTGTACTCAAGTTTTTGTTTTGGATAGCTTAGCTTTTTTCTTTCTTTTCTTTTTGAGGCTGATAGAGGGTAAAAGAATGTAGATGATTGAAAGTAGGTGCCAAACCGATTAGTTCTTTACCAAGGGAGTAGGGTAACTAGCTCAAAGGACAAAAGAAATTAGTGAATTTGTAGTATTCAGCCAAAGAATGTGTCAAAGAGAGTTGAGTCATCCAGTGTATAGAAAGGGAGTGTTCTTGCTTCTGCATAGCTTTCTGGTGAAATGTTGAAGTCATGTGAAACTTGATCATCTATTGGTTAACTTCTTTATCTGACACCCTGTATTGACATTTGATTATATTTTGCAGTGATTTTTTGTCAGGGTTTTGAAATCTTGATAAACGATGATTTTGGCAGTAGCAGGGGTATGCCCTTTACTCTCCCTATCACTTAGTTTGTTCAACAGTAAAGAAAGACATCTGTGTGTACTTGCAGTACTTAAGAGATTTTTCTTTTATTAGACCTAGAGGAACTGATTACTTCCTGTCTCAGATTGTGTTTCTGTCATAGTTCCACAAGTGAAAATTAATTTGCCTGTGGTTTGCTTTAAAGTTTATTAAAAAAACTAAAGTGTTTACTGATTTAAGAGTAGCTTCTGGTAGTTATAAATTAGTTTTTAGAAATATAAGATGCTTTCCAGTACTCTTGGTTTAATGTTGTTAAGCATTGAGATTATATAAAGATCATTTTTAGTGTTGGTGCATACATATCAACTGTTACAGAAACTTCAGTCAAAACTACAAAATTCGGATTTACTGTGGTTATTGCTGAGATGTAACATTGAATCATCATATCTGAATATGTCAGTTGACAACTGAGTTTCTCAACTGTGGCACTGTTGACATTTGTGACTGGATAATTCTTTCTTGTAGGGGGCTACTCTGTGCATTATAGGATGTTTAGCAGCATCCCTAGAATTTACCTACTAGAAACTGGTAGCAGTCTGCCCAAATCCCCTTGTAGTGACAGCCAAAAATATCTCCAGATTTTACCAAATGTCCCCTAGGGGTAAACTTGCCTCTGGTTGAGAACCACTGTGTTAAATGTATTCACTCTTTAATAGGAAAGTTTGAAGTGTTTCTCATGATTAACTACTTAACTTTTTTTTATTCGGTATACTTATATTGAGTTTCAGTAAATTCCAGGCACTTATGCTAGGGGCCGGGAAACAGTTTAATGAGATATGGGTCCTCCCTTTAAAACTCATAGCCTGGTTGGAGAGGTGGACATTTAAAAAGTAATTATAGTGCTGTGTAGTAGAATAATGAAGAGTGCTCTGGGAGCCGCTTTGTGGGATGGTGGTAGGGCAATCAGGGAGAGCTTCAGGGAGGAGGGGATGTGCACAGCTCAAAAGAGGGAAGGACATGTCAGGCAGAGGGAACAGCAAATACAAAGACATGGAGTCATAAATGGAACAAGTAATACTAGGGGGAGTGTGAACAATTAAGTTTAGGAAGTGAGGTGATAGGCAGGGATTGGTGGTAGATGAAGCTACAGAGCATAGCTAGAGACCAAATTATGGGAGGACCTAGAGTCACTTTGAAAGAGTTCTGCTTTATCTTGTAGGTGGGTCAGTGTTAATGCTCAGCATTTAATAGGGATATTTTGATAAAAATCTTAAAGAAATTTGGTGATTTGTATTACTAATTTAGAACCTAGAATATATATTTATGTTAATGTATATTAACTGTACAGGTGGTGTTTACTAACAAGTATAACGTGAATCTTTATGTAACATGGAAACCATTTTATTTTACTACTGATATAGTTGCTGATTTAGAGATTTGTTTGAAATGGTCTCCGTGCTTTTAAATTATATTGCATTCCTTAAACATTCTGTTTTTAGATGACCTTTTCATTTTAACAATTGTAATTTTCTCCTGAATAATGTCCTCTAAATAGCATTTTTGAAAGAAGAGACAGACAATGTGATTATGATCAATGATAACTCATAGTCTTTGAACATCACCAATATGGTCCCAGGGTACTTCATAGAAATTTGATTTCTGGTTCTCCTTCTGCTCCTTCTTTTACATTGGCTTAATAGATGGTGTTTGTCTGAGGCTTGAAAGGGCTTGGAAAAAACCCCCATAAAACCAGCACAACGAGGTGGCTCCAATATGTATGTATTGAATATTTTGCTTAATTGGTCCTTTGAAGAAAGACATGTATTTAAAGTGCTTGATGACCAGAAAGATGATTGGCATTTAAAGTTAGGCCGTTTGTAAACTTTGTTGCCATTTCTTTCTTAAGGAACTTATTGTGATTTAACAGTAGTATATTTCCTTTTGCTGGAAAATATCTATAATATTTCTAAAAATGGATTTAATTATTCCCTAATTGTAGAAATAGAAGGGCTGCTTTTATGGTCATCAGGTCTGTCTGATTTTTAAAATGAGGAAGTAAAAACTGAGGGAGATTAGGTGGTATCTAAGGTAATGCGGTTAGTAGATGTCAAAGACTTCTAGAGACTAGAGCCAAATTTTCCCAACTCCCAATCCATTTGCCTTTTGCTGGCACTTTGTTGCCCTTTTCTTTTTTTTTTTCTTTTGGTAGCCAAACATTGTCAACCAAGTTGCTGCCCTTTTCTTTCATTACTCGACTATTAATAATATGCTTAGCACTATGCTAGTCACTGTAGAAGATACAGGAAAAATATGAGACTCAGCTTCTGCCTCAAGGAACTTACATAATTAACTGCCAAAGTAAATGATACAGACAGTGAAGGCTGTAGCAGTACAGAGGAGGAAAGGTCAGAATGAACCTGTGTGAGTGGGACTGAGATGGGGTTTTGAAGAATGAGAGAGAGAGAGAGGAAAAGTTTCATTGCAGGAAGGAGTTAGAGTGTAAGCAAAGACACAAAGGGGAGTGAGTTCATTTCTCCTGCCCTCCCTCCTTCCTGAGCAAATTGCCTTTCAGCAAATAAATATTTATAACATTTGCTGTGTGCTAGGTACTGGGGATATAACAGTGAATAGACACAGTCTGCCCCTTCAGTAGCTTAAAACCAAGTGACTTTAGAGATAGAGGTCTATTTAGAACAGAAAGAAATTGAGAAATTTGCAAAGGTAGTGGGAAACCTCATTGTGGAGATAGTTGGTTGTTGAGCTCAGCACCATCCAATGCAAATGTGAGTCACATATGTAATTTAAAATTTCTAGTAGTCATATTTTTAAAAAGTAAAAGGTAAAATTACTTTTAAAAATATATTTCCTATAACCTAATATATCTATAATATTTCAACATGCAATCAATATAAATATTAATGAGATATTTTACATTTTTTTGTACTAGGACTTTGAAATTTAGTGTGTATTTTACATTAATGGCACATCTCAATTTGGACTAATCACACATTTCAACTGTTCAGTAGCCTTGTGTAGCTGGGGGCTACTGTATTAGACAGTACGGACTAATACTACTGTATTAGTCCAGTTGGAAAGCTATAATCTTTAACTTCTTATCTGGAACTCATTTTAAACTTAAAAAAGTTGCAAGAATAAGATAATATAAGGAACGCCTGTATATTCTTTATTCAGATTCACCTATTATTAACATGTTACCCTATTTACTTTATCATATGCTCATTTTCTTCTCTTCTCCCTTCTCTCCTCTCCTTTCTCTGTCTCTGAATGTATGTAATTTTTTTTTTTTTTCTGGACTATTTGAGGATCAGTTATGGCCCTTCACCTCTGAATACTTAAATGAAGAATAGGAATATTCTCTTATATAACTACAGTATAGTTGTCAACTTTATAAATTTATATTGGTTCACATTCCATAATTCCTGTTTCACAGTTGATCTGATAATGGCCTTTGTAGCATTTTCCCCTCTCCAGTACAAAGACCAGTTAGGGTTAGATGTTATATTTAGTTGATATTTAGTAGATATATTTAGTTATTAGTTGCTTTAGCCTCTTTTAATCTAGAACATTTCCACAGCATTTATTTGTATTTTATGATACTTTTGAAGAATACATTTCCCCTCCTGTTTTTTTTTTGTTTTGTTTTTTTTTAAACTGGAATGTTCCTCATTCTAGTAAATGTTTGCCTGGAATTTCTTTGTAATTACATTGAGATTATGCATTCTTGGCCAGAATACTGCTAGGAGATAATTGTGTCTTTCTCAGGTTATCACATCTGGGACCCATGATGTCTTTCTCTGCTTCAGGGACGATGTTAATTTTGATTACCCTGTTAAGGATCAAGGTGTTGCCCAGTCTTGCCACTGTATAATTATTGTTTTTTTTTTTCTTCCTTTGAAACTAATGGGGTAGTTTATGGGGAGATAATTTAAGACCTTGCAAATATCCTGCTCCTTATCAAAAATTTTCTCCTAGATTTAGCATCCACTATTGATTCTTACCTGATCTAGTCTTCACCACCATGGCTACAAAATGCTGATATTTCTACTCTAGCACTTTCTCCCCATTTACCAATTGGTCTTTGGTTCTTTCCCTCCCTCCCTTTCTTTCTATCTTATTGGTATGCACTCATTAATTTCCATTTTTTAATGATTTATAACTTATCACTATCTGTTATTTTGGTGCTCAAATTATCCCAGGTTTGAACAGTGGGAACTCTCTCAGGTGGTTCCTGTGTCCTTTGACATGCCCCCAACATGTTGCTGA